TATGTGTGTGTGTGTGTGTGTGTGTGTATTTTTGTATGTATACTGCTTGGTGAACTCTGAGCTTTTAAATCTATGATTTGGTGTCTGTCATTAACTTTGGGAAATCCTCAGTCATTATTTCTTCAAATGTTTCTTCTACCCCATTTTCTCCTTCTGTGATTTCAATTATGCACATGCTATACCATTTAATATTGTACAATTTTTAGACGCTCTGCTATACACTTGCATTCTTGCTCACTCCTAACCCTTCTTCTCTTTCTCTCCCATTTTTTTCTCTTTGAATTCCAGTTTGAGTAATTACTACTGATGTATCTTCAAGTTCACTGATTCTTTCCTGAGCTGTGTTAAGTCCACTAATGAACTCAACTACATTCTTCATCTCTGTTTCTGTGTTTTTTATTTCCAGCACTTCCTTTTGATTCTTTCTTATAATTTCCATCCCTCTGCTGAAATGATTTGATCTCATGTTATCAATCTTCTTCATTAGAGATTTTAAATTATTGATAATAACTACTTTAAATTCTCTGATAATTTCAACATTTGTGCCACATCTGGGATGATTCTGTACATAGTTTGGTTTCTTTGAAGTATTTTCTATTGCATTTTCATATGCCTCCATTTTTTGCTGAAAACTAGATAGCTTGTGTAGGACAGTAGATACTGAGGTAAATGTATTTCTATGCTTAAAGTGAGAATGCTTTTCCTTCTTGTAGGCCTTTAAACAGGAATTTGAATTAATTCAGTCAGGAATTGGACTGGATTTGAGGATTTTTGTTATGATAAACCACAGTGTACCGTAGTGTTCTCTAGTGATATCATGTGGTTAGTTTTGTTGAACGGCTTTCCAGTGGTTATTTTTTTAATATCTACTCCACGCTTAGTTTTGCGTCTTCCCTTTATGTTGGGCTTCAGGCAATCTGCCTCTTGACACTCTTGCAGCCGTATTCCACTATTAATTTTACTCAGTGCTTGTTAGGACATAGAGGATCAGAGAGGAAGAGGGTTACTTGATGTTCTCATGTAGCCTCAGCCTGAGGTAGGTACTGTGTCCCTGGGTCTCATAAGTATGCTGCCCATCCTCCAATTGTAGTGCTGGCCCTGGCACATATTCTAATCTTGCCCCTAAAGAGGGAGCTTTTCCCCCATTACCTTCCTCACCAATGGATTTATTCCGGTCCCCTAAGTCAGCAGTTGTTTTTGCTCTTCGTCTTTGCTAATTAACTCTTATATTCCATTGGAGAAAATGGTCTAGTTTCACTTGTGGCTGCTATTCTCCTCCTCAATCTTGCCAGTGAGCACCTAGTAAAGTTTGTGGAGGAAAAGCCCAATGAAGGATAGCTCCTCAATTTAAGCCCTCCAAATGTGTCCATACTCTCATGTGAGCTCACACTCAGCTGTTAGCAATTCAATAGAAGTTTTAGCTGAATCTCCTTACTGGTTTATATGGCATCTGGTGATGTCTGCCTGATGTAAACAAATAGTGGCATCCTCTTTCTCCTTCTTGACAGTTGCCTTTTTCTTCCTATATTTGGGGCTGGTTGATGGTCTTGTAGCCTCAGTTCTCTGATGGATTTTTTAAATTATTGATGTGTCATTTTTTTCCAGCTATCTCTTTATAGGAAAGGAGGGAATGGCACTCTTTGAAGCTCTGTACATCTCTGAGCTTAAAGCAGAAGCTAGACAATTCACTCCAGAATTCCCCAGTATTCTAAAATTAATACATTTTGGTTATCTTATTGAAACAATACAAGTGATAGGGATTTGGTGAAAATGGTTACTGGTTGGATGTACTAAAGATGCAGTGCCTTTGCATATGTTCAGTGGAATGGGAGTACTCTTGGCTGAGAAGTGACACTAACATGCTTTAAGGCCTAAATGGAAAAAGCTGGCAGGAATAACAGCAAGTATTCCCCTAAAGGGAAAGGTTTTGGTCCAGCTTCTTTGGTATGACAAAGCAGGCTAAAGTCCTTGCCTCGAATGTACATATTCCAATTAAATTGCTCTGAAGGAAATTGTAGAAGGAATTTTCATGTGGGTAGAGTTGTACCTTTGTAAATTATTATGTTTACTTAGACTGGAATGAGGAGTTTCTCCTGGGTCTCAGGGGAGTCCAGAACCTGGGCACCAGGTAGGATACAAGAAAAGAGGCATTTCACATGGGAGATAAGCAAAGCAACTGAGGGGTAGGTTATTGACTAAGAAAGAAAAAGACTCAGTAACAGGTTATTTCTATAAATGTCAGGAACGATCATTTCTTGTACTCAATTGTAAGGATTTTCTTTCCTATACTGTGGTTTTCTCCCATTTTGTTCAGCATTCATTAAAGTCTGGTTGCATATGACAACCTGGAACTGGTTGTATTTCAAGGGAGGAAGGGAGAAACTATATTATTCACCCTCAGGCCCAACAGTTCAGAGGGCTCTCTGCTAATAGAGAAGGGACAGGCTTGATGTCACCACAGGTGACCTGTGGGGGTCAATATGGTGGCTATCAGCAGAGAACTGGGCAAAGATGCTCTCTTTAGAATATAAATTAAAAAGATTTATATATTTTTCAAAACAGAACCACCCAAAATACTACAACCTTGTTTTTACCTCTCCATTGGCAGCATGGGTAGTTAAAGGATTAATGTTTAAAGCAGCAATAACTTTAAAATAATTCTTTCAATTCTCAGTGAAGTAAGGGTCTTTTTAATACCATGCACCCTTAAAGGTGACAGATATCCAACAGAGACAGTGTTTTTGCATAGTTGGCAGATACTTAATGAGCTCAATTCATTAATCAGGATCATGTTTATATTTTGGATCGAAAGGAGAGCCAGAATCTATCTATACTTTGACTATAAGCATCAAATGTGAAAAATCTTTAGTCAGCCTGTTTTGATTGGAAATATATGCAAAGTCTCAGAAAGAAATCCTCCCATTCATTTAATCTACTACTGTCATTTTCCAAATCAATAAAATACAGACGAGCAAGGTAACTCACCCAAGGTCACATATTGGTAAGAATTTATGAAATTAAATTGCAAGATAACTTAATGAAGGATATGTAGTACTTTAATGAGAGTATGTAACTTTGGTTTTAAATAAGCAGATGTCAATTACAATGTGTTAATCTTCCTCATTTATGTCTATATGTACAGCCCTTTATGCCTATGTTTATCTATATTTATGCCTATATGTACATCACAAACATATTTATAAACATAATAGCAGTAAGTTAAAATCATAAATTAAGATATTCAAGTTTCTTGTAAGTTATATTATGGTATTAACAACAATATCCATTTGAAAAACCATAAAACTTGATCAAAACCTGAAAGATCGTGACACCTGGGTGGCTTAGTGGTTGAATGTCTGCCTTTGGCTCAGGGAATGATACCAGAGTCCTGGGATCGAGTCCCGCTTCTCCCTCTACCTGTGTCTCTGCCTCTATCTCTCTCTCTGTGTGTCTCTCATAAATAAATAAATAAAATCTTAAAAAAAAAGATCCCATTGTAAGACCATCTCATAATTTCTTCAGAAAAGACTGCCCCAACATTGGAAAACCTATTAGAAAGTTATAAAGTTACATGTGTTCTGAATAGACAACAATACTACCCACTGGAGGACATGCTCCTCTCTGACCACTCTGCCAATTATTTCAATCATTTTGGCCAAGGGAATACATGTTGACTCCTGCATGAACAAATGGGGCAGGGGGGGAATCTTTTGCTTTTTAAGTTTCTATAGACATACACACTTGAGAGTTCTCATCTTTTTCTCAACTCTTGTTTATCTTTGAATATTCTTCTGAGCAGTTTCTAAGTCTCTCTTGATATGATTCATATGCTATTAAATGCAACCTCGCTTGTAAATTAATAGTAGGTAATGGCTCCATCTGGAAATACAAAAAATTAATAGTTTAAAGCACATGCAGTAAGCAGAGATGAAGGCCTCTAAAGCTTACATCCTTTTGTTTTCAATGAGTCTGTTGAAAAGATAGTTTTCATTGTGGTGCTGTGGTGTTCTGGTTTTCAGTAGCTGTAATACATTTGTTTTTTAATGCTTAGTGATCTAGATTCTCTGAAAAACTTAAACCCATAACCTGGATATGACTTGGTGGAGTGCTAACTCTCTGAACCTCTGGGGTACCATTTAGTGCACAGCTCTGTGGGGTATGACTGCTTTCATGCAGTCATATAGCTGGTGAGAGCTTAATAAATACTACTGACTGAATTAAAGTCAGGATGTTGAGGGCTATAAACAAGTCCAAATCATTGACACAGAAACAATATTGCCAAAACAGAAGTCTAGACTGCTACAGTAGTAAAAACAGTAAGGGGAAGGACAAACATGACCTTGAATCACAAGCGAAATGTCATAGTCCCAGACACTGCTATAAATTGGGCTCTGCCTGTAATTCCATGTGTGTGGTAAGTGACCCAACCTAGGTGATATAAGGAACTGGAAAGCAGGGTAGGAGGCTCTAACTAACAATTAATCTTCCTTGGCCTTGGCATCCTGGTTTTTCATATGCGCAATTTAGGAGAACATGGGAACTGACAGACTGACCTTTTTCAACAATAAAAGTAAGGTTGTTCTATGTTACTCTGTTTGCTGATGGATCAATTCTAGTTTTTCGAAAAACCCCAAGACTTAAATTACTTGGTACAGAAGCATATGTGACTAAATATTATATAAGATTATTTGGGGTTGTTTTTTGCTAGGTTGGTTTGGCTTTTTGTTTATTTTTATTTTGTAATGTGCTTTCGGTACTATTTTCTCATTTTACCCTTGTAACAATCATCACAGATATTGGGAGCATGTGATAATAACCTAATTATGTATAGTTTTCTCATCTTCCTTTCTCCTACCTACGACATAGATACAAAGTGGCAAAGCCAAGTCTATAAACCAGGACCCTAAAGACCACACCCCTGCTGCCCTTGAAAGTACTGATCTTGGGAAACACACCAATAATTTTAACTGAAATTATTTTTAACCTTTAAAACCTTGGCTACCTTTCGGCCGGAACCGCCATCTTCCAGTAATTCGCCAAAATGACCAACACAAAGGGAAAGAGGAGAGGTACCCGCTACATGTTCTCTAGGCCTTTTAGAAAACATGGAGTTGTTCCTTTGGCCACATACATGCGAATCTATAAGAAAGGTGATATTGTGGACATCAAGGGAATGGGCACTGTTCAAAAAGGAATGCCCCACAAATGTTACCATGGCAAAACTGGAAGGGTCTACAATGTTACTCAGCATGCTGTTGGCATTGTTGTAAACAAACAAGTTAAGGGCAAGATTCTTGCCAAGAGAATTAATGTCCGCATTGAGCATATTAAACACTCAAAGAGCCGAGATAGCTTCCTGAAGCGTGTGAAGGAAAATGATCAGAAAAAGAAGGAAGCCAAAGAGAAAGGTACTTGGGTCCAACTGAAGCGCCAGCCTGCCCCACCCAGAGAAGCACACTTTGTGAGAACCAATGGAAAGGAGCCTGAACTGCTGGAACCCATTCCCTATGAATTCATGGCATGATAACTGTAAAGAAAATAAAAGACCTCAGGATTGTAAAAAAAAAAAAAAAATAAAACCTTGGCTAACAGGTAGCCTGTTCAATAGTGAAAAGTGATATTTAACTCTAATTTTTAAAATAGAAAATTGGTTATAGTTAAAAGGCTTTTAAAAGTATTTTTTTTCTGGAAAAAAATACTACTACTATAAAACCTAATCAAATTATTATGCTTTTCTTCATAATTTCACTTTGCTACAGAACGATACTGTCTGCAGGAATTATTCTTGAATAGTTATTATCAATTCAATGAGATTCCTCCTATTTTTATGTATTTTGGTGTTTATACATTGTTAAGTACAACATATGCAATTATTTCTGGAACATAATCATACGGAATTCAACTCCAACTTGAAATTGTCCAAAAATGAAATAGCAAACACATCACAATACTGAAAAAAAGTGGAGGTTTTTCTCAGACAACTGTGTAATGATGGACTTCGGCCACTAAAATTGTCCTGTGATTGATCTCAAGGAAAATAGTTGGTGATCAGTCCTTATTCTTTCAGACCTTTCCTCCATACTTTCAGTTTACTCTCAGCTATTCTTGTACTATTGTTGATTATCTGAGAATGATTCTTTTTAACTGTTCTAAAATAATCTATGCTTCTGCAACAATGAGTATAATTGACAATTATGGCACATTATTCACAGCTCATAGTATCTCTGCCAAACAAGTTACCCACAATGTGATGAAGATAAGTACATGGAGGTGTGAGAGGGACCAGAATTTAGACCCCCTGGCAAGAATTAAAGATTAAAGTGGGATAGACTTGAGAGGTTCAGACTAGGGTGGGGAGGAGGATAAAATAAAAGCAATAAAATCATTAAAAATGTAAGTTAAGCTGTCAAATATTCTATGAAGGGAGAGACCATGACTATTTCACTCACCATTGGCTCACCAGAGCCCAGCACAGCTCCTGACACATAGTAACCACTCAATAAACATTTGCTGAATCTTGTAAAGAGCACAAGCAGGAAAGAAGGAATAATAATAATAAAAAAATGAAACCTCTAAAACTACAAGTCATTCTTCCAATTTCTGGCGAATAAAAACACAAGCAAGACTATTATTTTGGGGACACCTGGGTGGCTCAGCAGTTGAGCATCTGCCTTGGGCTCAGGGTGTGATCCTGGAGTCCCAGGATCGAGTCCCACATTGGGCTCCCTATACAGAGCCTACTTCTCCCTCTGCCTATGTCTCTGCCTTTCTCTCTCTATCTCTCTGTGTGTCTCTCATGAATAAATAAATAAATAATCTTTAAAAAAGACTATTATTTTGGTTTTGCTTTGTACCCTTACACTTTTCAAAGTAGCTTTACCTATAGTATCTCCTCTGACTTTCTTTGAATTCTGATGAGTGACCACAAGGGAAAAATCCAGTTTCCATACACTTAACTTTATCAGGATCCTAAGTTGTGACAACTTTTCTAAAAGATTATTTATTTATTTGAGAGAGAGTGTGCATGCAAGCAGACTCTCCACTGAATGCAGAGCCCAATGCAGGCTGCTGGATCTCACAATCTTGAGATCCTGACCTGAGCCAAATTCAAGAGTCAGATGCTCAACCGCCTAGGCCACCCAGGTACCCCAACTTGTGACAATTTTTGTAATATTGTACTTAGGTGGTGACTGATACAATAGAGAAAGGAGAGCAGTCTGGGAAGGGAACCATTATTTTTATTTTAGCCATAAAATTACCAAAACAATCAATCTTATAGGGTAATTATGAGGAATAATAAATGTAGATACCTCTGCAATGCCATACAAAATGTATTATCCTTACCAAGTTTCTTTCTGCTCTGCTCTCTCTAGGCAGACACTAAGGTTCTGAAATAGTATAAATTACTTACCCAGATTCATGAAAAGAGCAATTCCCCAAACTCAGCAATATAAAAGTACAACGGGAAAAAGGTTTTTTTAAAGCATAAGATAAATTTGGTTCATAAATCTTGGACAACATTTTTAAAGGCTTCCAGGCAAAGTGGCCATTCTAGGAAGGCTGTGGGGCATATTTCATCAGATGGGTGTCTAGCTCTAGACTCAAAAAACTGACAGCCAATTTAGGTGGGCTTTCAATTCAACATGCAAAAAAAAAAATCCAGATATCCTGTACCCTCCAAACATCCAGGATTTGTTTCTAGTTTTGAATAAATACTAAACAACAATTCTATCAAAAAAGAACAGAGAACTTCAATTAAAAGACATCTGGTGAGTGCCAATTTTATCCAAATGTAGAGCATCCAAAAGAATCTGAAGTCAAACAGAGGGCAATTTCATCAAGAAACTAACAAATCCAATTGAGCAGAAGAGATTTTGAATTTCTCCTACTGGTAGGAAGAAAATTATACATGATACTAGAAAACTGAGAGTTTAATGTAAAATACAACAAGATACATTAGAATTCAATACATAAGAGAACTGATTAATGAAGAATTAAAACTTATCCAGTTCATCCTACCAGATGAGAAGATTTATGAAAATTCATGAGTTCAGAGAATACCAACAGAGATACTTTATGGAAAGTTACTTTAAAATTTTTTTAGTTATTTTATTTAAATTCCATTAGTTAACATACAGCATATCATCAGTTTCAGATGTAGAATTCAGTGATTCAGCAGTTGCATGTACACCCCAGTGCTCATTACGTCACATGCCCTCCTTAATGCCCATCCCCCAGTTACCTCATCCTCCCCTCCACTCTCCTCCAGCAGCCCTCAATTTCCTAGAGTTAAGAATCTCTTATGGTTTATCTCCCTCTTTGATTTTGTCTTATTTGATTTTTCCTTCCCTTCCCCTATGATCCTCTGGTTTTGTTTCTTAAATTTCACATATGAGTGAAACCATATGATAATTATCTTTCTCTGAATGACTTATTTCACTCAGCGCAATACCCTTCAGTTCCATTCACATCGATATAAATGGTAAGATTTCATCCTTTTTTGATGGCTGAGTAATATTCCAGTGTGTGTGTATGTGTATGCGTGTGTGTGTATTCTTTATTCATTTATCTGAGGATGGACATCTGGGATTTTTGCATAGTTTGGGTATTGTGGACATTGCGTTATAAACATTGGGGTGCAAGTGACCCTTTGGATTACATTTGTATCCTTTGGGTAAAGGATACAAGTAGTGCAATTGTGGCATCACAGGGGACCTCTATTTTTAATTTCTTGAGGAAATTCCACATTGTTTTCCAGTTTTCTAATAACCTTTGATTTAAAAATACACTATAACTATAACTATAACTATAACTATATATATATATATATATATATATATATATATATTGCAGAAGACATGAACAGACATTTCTCCAAAGAAGACATACAGGTGGCCAACAGACACATAAAAAGATGCTTAAAATCACTCACCATCAGGGAAATGCAAATCACAACAACAATGATGGAAGGATGGATGGATAGAGATATATAGATAGGTAGATATAGATATATATATCATATATAAAATATATGGTGGAATATTATTCAGCCAAAAAAAAGAATAAAATCATGCTATTTGCAGTGACATGGATACAGTTAGAGAGTATAGTGCTAAGGAAAATAAGTCAGAGGTAGACAAATACCATATAATCTAAGTTATTTGTGGAATTTAAGAAACAAACAAAAAAAGGAACAAAGGAAAAAAAAAGAGAGAGCGATCCATCAAGAAACAGACTCTTAACTATAGAGAATTGATGATTACCAGAGGGGAGACAGTGGGGGATGGGTAAAATGGGTGATGGAGATTTAAAAGTACACGTGTTATGATCAAAATCTAAAAATAAAATAAAAAGGAATATCAAACTCTGTTATAGAAGGAATATTTGTGTCACCCCCCCTAATTCCTATCTTGATGTCCTATATACCCAAGGGTGATAATAGCATTTAGAGATTGGAGTCTTTGGGAGGTAATTGGATTAAATGAATTCACAATGAGAAGGCCAGGAAGAGAGCTCTCATCAGGAACTGAATAGGCCAGCACCATGATCTTGGACTTCCCATCCTGTAGAACTCTAAGAAAATACATTTTTCACTTAAACCCTAAACACTAAACAGTCTATAGTATTTTTAAGGCAACTAAGCAGAGTAATACTCTCTTTTGCCCCAACACCTTGATTCTGTATTTATTTGGAAAATGACCTTCAATTCAATTTATGAATACATGGCCTATAGTCATAGAAATTCATAACTGGCAGGAAATGAACCCTTACCCTGTTTAACCACTCATTGTATGCCTGAATCTTTTGCATAATATGGAAATTGACTAAACTGTCTTGGGAGCTTGAACCTTTTTAGTGAGAGGAATGCACTTCATTTCCTGTTGTTTCCAAACGATTCATTTATGGGCCAGATACTATCACTTAGCTCTGTAGCTACAAAAGAGCATCTGCAAACCTCCAGATTGAATTTATCAAGCAACTACTATGTGACAAATGTTTTCCCCTTCATTATGATATACTTTTTCTTTTCTACACACGTAGGCCCTAAGACTCAGGAAAAAAAAAAGTAATTTACTAACGGTCAGATCTTTAAGCACTAGTGGATCAGAGGATTGAATCCAGGTATCTGCATTCAAAAACTATTCTTTTTTTCACTGCAAAGAATGGCCTCTAAACTATGTTGATTATATATCCCTCTCAGGAAAAATATTTTGAATATATTTTCCCAATTCATGTATTTATCAATTGCACACATGTACATCTGTGTATTTATCAAACATATACAAAAAGTTGAGATTTTTAAAAAGGTGACATTAGAAAGTAAATATAAATAGGAGTCCTAGGGTGCCTGAGTGGTTCAGTGGTTATGTGTTTGTCTTCGGCTCCAATCATGATCCCAGGGTCCTGGAATTGAGCCCCACATCGGGCTCCCTGCTCACAGGGAGCCTGCTTCTCCCTTTTCTCTCCATTCATGCTCTCTCTCACTTTTTTTCTATCTCTTTCTCTCTCTCTTTCTCTCTCTCTCTCAAACAAATGAATAAAATCTTTTAAAAATAAGAGGAGTCCTA